ACTAAAAGGCATGTTGACAACAAATATATATATCAGCTGTAGCAGTCCACGATTACTTCCTACTCGTGAGCGCCCCCTCTGGTGGAGAAATGTTTTTTTCAGGGATACAAACTTTTTCAGAACACCGGTAGACGGCCGCCATTACAGACGAACATGTGTTTGTTGTTGTTCGAGGAGCGGCCCGGTCACACGCTAATGTCATTAGTTCGCTATCATTACTAAGGTGGAGGACTGCCTTTCCCCCCTTTTTTCCACATCATGTCGCCTGCCTGGATCTGTTATTATCTCGCTCTGAAGCACGGAGGAGTGTCAGAGGTAAGCACGCTTCAACTGCTTTTTACGACGCGGTCTCATTTCCGGACTCAGGCATTTTGTGAATGAAGCCGATATTTTAGTTAAAATACATAAGTAAAGATATTTATCCGAGTATAGTACTACCCCCAATTTTATGGATGATTTTATGGATTTAATTTTATGTATTATACTTGAATAAATACGGTACTAAAGGTTGACAACGACATTCATGCCTGTAAGTAGATGAAAACCACCATTTGTGGCTGTATACTGAATGACTTTCAAACTGTATTACACAGCTCTAAAACTAACAGTGAAAGGAAGCCTGAAAAAAGTGATGCACCTTTTGAGCCACAGCAGAGAATTTGAGGACGTTGACAGTCTCATCATACATGGATGCACACTGGTTGATGTTGACAATCATGCAGGTTTTGCCTCGCCCGCAGAAAAAGCCCTGCAGGTAGTGGGTCAGCTTACTTTCTCTGAAGGGAACATGCTGAAGAAGCCTGAAAACAAAAGAACAAATGGTGGATTGTTGGAGGTAAAATACTCTAATTTCAGCTGTCAGTTGTGTTGGTTCCATGAGGCAGTGATGAGTCTTCAGATATAAAAAAAAAAAACAAAAGGAAGAGAAAGACAATAAAAAATCTCACTTGGTCTGCTGGTTGTGTCGCAGTGCATTGATGCATTTTCCTAAAATAAGCAGTGAGGTGTTGATGTTTCCAGCTTCTTTCAGACGCTCTCCTTGGTTTTGAGTCTTTGCACATCGCTCCGAGCCAGCCAGGTCACACAGACACAACCTGGGTGAAAAAACAAAATGTATACATTTTCTTTACTTCATCTTGCCAAATGTTTATTGCAAGCATTAATGCTAATAAAGCTTACAGTTTTATACTTAAAACATGTTTCATATGAATAATTTGACTCACTCGCTGCTTGTGTAAATGTGTGGAGTCTCAATATCCTCAAGTCTCAAAATTCGAATAGAGAAAATACTGTGACTGCAGGAAAACAGAGAGAAAAATAAACATAAAACAGTAAAACACAACTTTTAGACAAACGGTAAAATAAGATTTAGAGCACAGAAACATATTCAAAGAGATAAAACAGTAGAATGAATAAATGCAATGCTTTAAAACTAAACTGTAGCTCAGCAGCTGAAGCAGCTGCCATGTCCCAGAAAACTTCTGTGAACAAATGACAGCATTCTTAGTACAATGAAATTATAAGTGTGACTCCTATACAATGCTTCAATTAAAATCATCACAAAAGCAAGACACTTAACACATGATGCAAAAGTAAAATCGTATGTTTTTTTTTTTTTGTGTTTGTTGAATAGAATTACTTTATTTGAAAATGAATCGTTCAGCTTTGGATTTAATGGATTGCTAGTGTCTGCCAGAGGATAACATTTCAAACAGACGGGAAGAGTTGTTAATGATGATGGAGAAAATGCGACTGTAATGTCAATGAAGGAGGGCAGAGGACAACAATTAAGTTTTAGGGATGAAAACAAACTGGATTGGAAAGCTTGGAACACTTCTTCTAACGATGAGGAGCAACAGATTTCATCAGATTTGAATGGGCTTCAGGTCAATTTGTACTTTTGCAGCTTTAGTCATTATGTATATGTTTTGGGTACAAAATAAGCTGTCTGCCACAGGTCTCAGGTCTCACCATGGCAACTGCTGGAGAGTAGTTTTGAAATAAAAGGAGCAGATTTAAATCAGCTTATTATTATTACTGTGGTTAGGGGTATTTCAGCAAACAGGTTCAACAAACAAAGTTCATTAACTCAAAGTAGCTTCCCCTCAAAGTAAAGTATATTTCTGGTTTCAGAATGGCTGATTAGAATAATCAACTCTGAGTATTTAACCTTGAATTACGAAAGTGCAAAAGCACACAAAAACAAAGTAACCATCAATAGAGCCTCAACACTTTGATTCACAAGAGAAACTACAGGAAAACCAGATCTGGGTTGTTTCTTAAAACCAAATATGGCAAGATGCAGTGCAGCTGTAACACAAGAATTAGATTATGTCACAGCTCAGCTACGCTCTGGACTCTATAATAAATAGCTTTAATTTATGCACAGTTTTTCCCTAATGATGTGATTGTTATATAAAGAGTCAGTTAACAGTGTTTTAAATGGGCAACATTTTTCAAACAAAAGTCATAATGTTAATTTTAGAAAAATATTTTTTCACTGTAAAAAGAAAGTGTCTAAACATGAGTTTCTTAAATGCCTTTAAAGTATAAAACAATATGTGACCCATCATATTGAAATGAGGATTAAGTCAAATTTGGTCAAAATGATTTAATTACATTTTCAGATTCTTGGCTTTAAAAGCTACATTTTGACACCTGGATCATTCTGATATCATAATTAAATCCATATA